TGTCTCTCATTCTCTCTCTCTCAAATAAATAAATAAAATCTTTAAAATAAAATAAAATAAAATGAGGATACTATTTTCTTGTAAGGTTGTTAGGAGATAAAAGGGGACGTTTACACAGAGCTGAGTTCATTGTAAGTACTTCTGAAATACATGCTCCATGGGCATTTATTATTAATTTCGTTATGGCCATTGTTTATCTGCTGGACAGTGCTCTCCATCAGATAATATCCGCATGGCGGGGGGCAGCCAGGTGTGAAACAGGTCAAATAAAAGGCTCAACTCCTGCTCCCTGGGGACTCTGCAGATCAGCAAGGACACGTTAGGCACGAAGACAACTCGGTAAAGCCCACACACCTGCCTGCAGCCCCCTCCTGCTAATTAACTTGCTTACAGGCAGGGAGAAGAAGATGGAGCGCGACAGGGAAATCTTGCCAAGTATGTGAAATCAGAAGTGAGACATGGCAGAGACATGGGCAAGGTGGAGGATTTTACGCAGCTGACGGGATGTCCGAGAGAAATGCACAAAGGAGATTTCGAGGCTGGGGACCCAAACACAGGAAAGCCTGGGGTATAGGGACCAGGACTGAGGGTCTCATGTGAGGAGCTTGTCTCCGGGTGGACGGAGAGTGAACATATCACATGGATTGCCCTTCCTGGGGGTGGCCTCTGTCTTTGGCTGGATCTCAGAGAGCGCTTCTGCCCGCCAGACACCAGGCCTGAGACCCTGGCCACTGTCGGCAGGCACTAGTGGGGCACAGAGCTGGGACAGAACATCGGAACAGGAAGTCTTCCTGCAGGTGAGACAGAAATAGCGGGACACGGAAAACAACAGCAGTCATTGCTGTTTGTCGAGCCCTGACCCAGGGCCAGGCCGCGGCGCGTTCCGTGTGTTATCTTCCTGAACACTCACAATGGCCGGTGGACATACGGTCTACCGTCCTGACTTCACTGATGAGGAAACTGAGGCAGGAGATCATGGGACTCACTCAAGGTCACGCAACATCTCGTAGAGCAGTGATTTGGTCTCGGGTGTTTTCACCATCCCTGAGAAGTTAGTTAGCTTTCCCCTCAATTGTGCTTTTTTTCATAAGAATAGACCTCATTATTTAAGGCGGGAGAGCAGAACCGGACTTTCATAAGCGACTATTATATATTAACAACCAGAGTACAGTTTGGAACGAGAATAAAAGAAACACAGACCCAGGAATAATCAGATATTCTCAATATAGGTTTGGAGGATTAAACGCCTTGACTGAGTCACGGGTCAGGCCTGAGCAGATTTAAACAACCCACACCCTGCTTGATCTGTCCGTCGGTAGCTCTGAGATCTGTGGCTGAGTATCTGTGCCCCACTCATGACTTTGCTGCCATTTTCCTTGCTCCAAGAGATTTTTCAAAGTTTTTTTTTAAAAACAGCTTTAATGAGGTATAACATATACCATAAAACCCACCTTCTAAGTGTACAACTCCATGATTTTTCCTATATTTACAGTTTTCTACGATCACCACGATCATCACGATCACATTTTAGAACGTTTCTGTCACCTCCCCAAAATCCCTTGTGTCCTTTTACAGTCAGTCCCGATTTCTAGCTGATTTCCAGGCAACCACTAATCTAATTTCTGTCTCTATAGTTTGCTTTTTCTGAACAATTCATAAAAATGGAATCATCATAGGGCGCCTGGGTGGCTCAGTCGGGTAAACATCTGACTCTTGATTTCGGCTCAGGTCATGATCTCAGGGTCGTGAGATCCAGCCCCGAGTTGGATCCACTGGGTGTGGAGCCTGCTTAAGATTCTCTCTCTCCCTCTGCCCCTCCCCTCCCACTCCTGCTCGCTCTCTCTCTCTTAAAAAAAAATTGGAATCATCATGATATATCTTTTGTGACTGACTTTTCATGTTTTTGAGGTCCATTCACATTGTAGTGTGTATCAGGACTTGGTTCCTTTTTATGGCCAAGTGATTTCCCATTGAGTGGATCGACCACATTGTGTTTATCCTTCCTAGTGGATGGACATTGGATTTCCACTTTGGGATCATTATGAGTAAAGCTGCTGTGAATATTTGCTTACAAATCTTTATGTGGACAAATGTCTTCATTTCTCTTGGGCTTTCTGGGTCATATAGGAAATTTACATTTAATTTTTTAAGAAATTGTCAGTTTTCCAAAGTGGCAGTAAATGCCATTTTACATCCCCCCCCCAGCAGTGTATTATAAGGGTTCCAGTTTGTCTACGTCCTTGCCCATACTTGGTATCACTTGTCTTTTTGATTATAGCCACTGTAGTGGGTGTGAAGTGGTGTCTCACTGTGGATTTAATTTGACTGATGATGTTGAGCATCTGCCCCAAAAGGTTTCTAGCTGTGACTTATTAATGCATATTTCAAGAAGGACACTGAGAATAAAGTCTTCCCTTCTGCTTTCTACTCTCACAAATGTTCATGGAGGAAAGGGCATGGCCCCACATGCAGCTCATTTCTGGGTGTGCCTTTAACATGATGATATTTTCCCAAGCAGGTATTCTTTTTCTTCTTCCTGAGCATTTTCCCTTCTCAGCTCTCTGCTCTTTGCGATTGTTAAAAATTCCAATTTGTGTCAAATTCTTAAGCCATTTGTCTCTGTGGGTGGTTCAAGTTTTTATAAATTGGCTTTGACACAAATAACCTGTTCTTAAAAAGGATATATTCTACCCCACACCCATTGAACATTTTAATACATGCCTGAACAACATAATTGGATTGATTTTAAACAGAGTTCTCTACCGAGATTGTGATAAAGGGAAGCAATTAGTTCAGGCAGAGGCCAGGCAGTGAGGCATGGGCGTCTAGATGCAGCTGGGTTACCGGGCGGATCCCAGAGCAGGCCCCGAATCCTAATGCATTTTTCAGTCATCGACGGAATCTGCCACGGGGCTTCAGCAAACACATCTTTTCCGTGCAAACAGACAGTTTAAATGGGGAGACAAATGTCCAACCAGATGCAGAAGCGGGGGTGGCCCACCTGGCGATGCTGACAGGAGCCAGGACTCGGGCAAGGAAAGCGAGGACATGGCCCAGGGGAGTGGCAGGGACATCTGGGCAGAGAAGGCTCCAACCAGGGAGCCCAAGCAGGAAGCAGAGCCCAGGAGGTGACGAATAGGAGAGCGTGGCCAGGGTCAGAGCTGAGCTGGGTGCAGACCCTGGGCAGGGCTCATGCCTCTGTTTGCATGGCCCTGGCGCCCCATCAGGGCTCTGGGCTGAGGCCAGTAAGTAGATGGCCTGAACTGGTGGCATTAGATGGAGAAGTGGCCATCCATGGCTAGTCCTCCGAGCTGGCCCCTGCTCTGTCTCCCTGTACTTCCATGCAGAAGCATTAGCTCTCAGGTACAGGTGCTGGAATATTCTCAGTTTAGAAAGTTTAGAAAGCAGGGCATGCCCAGTGCTATGATGGCCAAGACACAGGCCAGCAAGCTGGCTGCTGGGGTGGTTCAGATGTGGCTGGTATGAGCCTGTTGGGGTGGGGAGGGCCCACGAATGGGAAAGCCACCCATGTGGTCACTGAGAGCAACCCAGGTTCCTACAGTCAGCATCGCCTGCCAGCTCTCCCCTCCCCACATTTATCCTGCTGGTCACACAGGCAGCCTGGCAAGAGAATACAAGTGATTTCCCCATAAGTAACTGTTGAGCCATGTTTTCTGAGTTTCCCTTGTGTCCAAAGACAGGGTGTAAAATGGTCAGGGGTATGGGACGGGGGGAGGCAGCCCTCATGGCCTGGGTTGGGAATGGAGATTCCCATAAGTGAGGGGCCGCAGTGGGCACTCTGAGACATGCCCACCCCAGCTGCAGGACCGGCCTTGCCACCGCTGGTCCCATCCCCTTCCTGACAAAGCCTATGGAGAGAAGCTGCTATTGCCCGAGGCCGCAGGGAGGGGACCACCCATGACAGAGGCCTCTGGGCACCAACAGTCCTGGGCTCTAATACCTCTTCTGTCCCCTCACCCGTGGAAGGCTGGGTGGTCTGGCTGGTCTCTCCAGGTCACTCTTGCCTCCACTTGTGTTTGTTGGGGTGGGTACGGGTGAGTAGATGGACTTGCAGGGGGGGAGTGCAGCAGGGACAGCTGGGAGCTCCAGAGCCTGTGGAGATCCTTCCCTACTACCATGTTCTGGCCAGACTTCTCTGTAGTTGGTGGGCGTACCCAGGCAGTGGCCCAAGGTGGTGCGTTTCAAGCCACCAGCGAGAAGCGAGGCCCCATCCAGGCAGAGGTCAGCACGGGTTTGCAGCCCTGTCTCTGATCCCCACTCTGCCCGCTCTGAACAGGCATCTGGCACAGAACCCTTTCATCTGTGACTGTAACCTCAAGTGGCTGGCGGACTTCCTGCGCACCAACCCCATCGAGACGAGTGGGGCCCGCTGCGCCAGCCCCCGGCGCCTCGCCAACAAGCGCATCGGGCAGATCAAGAGCAAGAAGTTCCGCTGCTCAGGTAGCTGCCCGCTCGCCCACCTGTCTGTCCACCTGCCTGCTGTCTTCAGTCAGCTCAGAGACCGGTGATGTTTTCCTCATGGCTCCAACCGCGTCTCCTAGGCCACTCTAGGCCCTCGAGTGGGCATAGTTCCCAACCTGAAGCCTGGGATCTGAGTGGTTGACCAGCCCCACTCTGTACTGTATGGAGGCTTAGGGAAGACTAGGGCTGGCTGAAGGTCCCTTAGGGAGGCCTGCCTGGTCAAGGACCCAGGTTCCTCTGCTCCCAGGACAATTTGCTGTCATGCTACTCCTTTCGGAATCAGGAGGCCTCAGTGAGAGAACTGCCTCCTCCAGGCTCTGGGGCAGCAGAAACTGGCTGGGGACAGTGTGAGTCAGCCTCTGAGCCTGGATCCTGGTCAGGGATCTGATGCCTCTCTGCCCCATCCCTCATCTTGGGCCATTGCCCATGAGCGTCCTGTATTTTGGCATTCCCCGAGAAGTTCAAATGGGGGTGGTACAGCCCCCAGCCTCAGCCTGGCCAGGGAGCATCTGTGCTCTGTAGCAAGGCCTTCTCCACCTGGGGCTGGGCAGGTGGGCTCTGGGGCCCGAATTTGGGACCCCAGTGTTGTTCCTGGGGTGCCTTCACCTGGGCAGTGGGGTTGGGGCCTGGGCTCTTCCTGCAAGTCCTAGACAATTGCAGCTTCATGGTGTTTCTGCTTCTCTCCCCAGCCAAAGAGCAGTACTTCATTCCAGGTAGGAGAGTGGGGGCTACTGAGGCCAGCCTGGGGCGTGGGGGCGGCGGCAGTGGGTGGGCAGGGGCAGCAGGCTGAGGGGGCCGGGAAAGCCCTGCCCTGGCCCCTCAGCCTCCCGCTCCCGCCTGTCCCTGAAGGCACGGAGGACTACCAGCTGAACAGCGAGTGCAACAGCGACGCCATCTGTCCGCCCAAGTGCCGCTGTGAGGCCAGCCTGGCGGAGTGCTCCAGCCTGAAGCTCACCAAGATCCCCGAGCGCATCCCCCAGTCCACGGCCGAGCTGTGAGGGCCCCCTACCTCTCTGCAGCCCTCACCTGCCCCTGCCTCACTAACCCTCCTGGATCCACTCTGAGTTTCCCTCTGGTCCAGCTCTATTGGGGAGCATGGGAGACCCCAGCGTGGCAGGAAGTGGCTCCCCGCCACCCCCCACCCCGCAGCCCCTCTGCTTCCAATCACAGCCTACAGATCCTCTCTGGCCCATGGGGCAGGTTGGCAGCCAGAACCAGGGGTAGCTTTTCTCAGTCATGCTTTTGCCTTCTTCCAGGGGATGTGATCCCATCAGATTGAGTTGGATCTTAAGCCATCCTTTAGCTGTTTTCTTTCTTTAAAAATATAAATCTGTGCACATGTGTATGTGTGTGCATGAATAGCTACACATATCTGTCATCTGTGTATGTACATTTTTGTGGCATTTTTTTTTAAAGATTTTATTTATTTATTTGAGAGAGAGAATGAGATAGAGAGCATGAGAGGGGGGAGGGTCAGAGAGAGGGGCAGACTCCCTGCTGAGCAGGGAGCCCGACGTGGGACTCGATCCCGGGACTCCAGGATCATGACCTGAGCCGAAGGCAGTCGCTTAACCAACTGAGCCACCCAGGCGCCCTTTTGTGGCATTTTTAAGGTTAAAAATATCCCCATTCACCCCCCAGCACCCCCATCCATCCTTCCTTTGAAATAGGATCAGTTTGCCTTGCCAGATAAATTCTTCTGGGAACTCCTTTGTTTGAGTCCCAAATATTCTCAATTTGGAAGATAGTCTCATGTCTGTCATTTATGAATGTGTAAGTTCTCTTCATTGCCTTTTACAGACGATTAAACAACAATGAGATTTCCATCCTGGAGGCCACTGGGATATTTAAAAAACTCACTCATCTGAAGAAGATGTGAGTTACCCATTGGCGGGGAGGTTGCCGTCAGGATTGTAGCGGGGGAGGGAGAAGGCAGATACTGGGTGTGTGGGAGCTCCCAGGGGGAGGCAGGGCTCCCGTGCAGGAAGTCGGCAGGGGGGAGGGGGGTCCTCAGCTGCATCATCCTTCTGCTGCCTCCCGTCCAGCAATCTGAGCAACAACAAGGTGTCAGAAATCGAAGATGGGGCCTTCGAGGGCGCAGCCTCTGTGAGCGAGCTGCACCTGACTGCCAACCAGCTGGAGTCCATCCGGAGCGGCATGTTCCGAGGCCTGGACAGCTTGAGGACCCTGTGAGTGTGCGGGCCAGGGAGCAGGGCTGGACTGCCACAGGCAAACCCAAGCCAGGGCGTGGGCGTCTGCACTGAGAGGATGGGAGTCTCCCCTCCCCCCTAACCCCAGCTTGCAGGAGGCAAGGGACAGCCGGGGACCCTGACTGCGGTGGGGCAGGTGATCAGATGTTGCTAACTGTGGTTCCCTGGGGGTGGGGTCGATGCCTGGTGAAGGGGTGAGTGGAGGTGGGCTCTTTTGGAGGTTCCCCTTTCACTGCCCTCTGATCAGGCTGCAAGAGCACCCATGTGCGTTGAGTTCAGGCGTGGCCAGCACGGATGCAGGCAGGGGGGCTGGAAGGCCCCAAGGTGGCGACATTGTCGAGATGACCTCAGCTGGCGCAGACGGGGAGCAGGGATGGCCCGTCATCTCTGGGATTCTAGGATCCTGTGACCCAGAGCCCGGCCAGAGCTCACCAGACATCAGGACTCAGTAGGATCCTGGGGTCCTCCATCTCTCCAGAAACGCTGCAGGGAGCCCTGTCTCTCCACCCAGGCAGCACTAGCTCTTCCAATGAGCATGCAGACCCTTAGAGTGTGCAATAGACCGTGCTGTCCGGTTGGACTTCTTACAGTGACAGAAGTGTCCCGTGTCCGCACTGTCTAGTCAGTGGCCACGTGTGGCTCTGCAGTTCTTGACGCGTGGCTAGCGCCACCAAGACACAGAACTCTGAATTTCATTTCATTGTAATCATCAACAGCTACACGTGGCTGACGGCTGCCCCGTAGGGCAGCGCGGCTCCCGACGGCACCTGGCTGGGTTTCAATCCCAGCCCTGGGGTAGGCCTATCGATCTGTTTTCTGAGCACATGTCATGGGATTCGTGTAAAGGAGAGGAATATATGAGGGCATTCCCTGTGGGTTTTTGTGTTTATCTGTTTGTTTTACAAAAAGGGGATTCTCTTTGTGCTGTGTTTTGCCACTTGCTTTTGTCACGTGTGAATCTAGTGTGGCTGTTTCCCCAGGCTGTGCGTACAGGGCTGCCCTGTTTGTCCTTACCCTGGCCAGGTACTCCTTGAAGGAGGGTGTCGTGGGCCCTTGGGTTCCCTGCGAGGGAGGCTTGGAGGGGGACGGAGGAGAGGGGCGGGGCGGCTGCTGGGCCAGGGCCAGCAGCACGTGCGAGCCAGAGTGCAGGCACAGGAGAACGGCCAGAAGCCCCCCACCACATGCAAACGACCGCTGCTCTTGTGGGTAGCTGCCACCTTTCCAGTCTTGTGCTTCCACATGTGCGTTGGCATTCGCACGCGCATGCGCACCAGCACATGGGGTGCTTACGTGTCGGTATTTCTGAATGGCACCCTAGAATCCATTTTATTTAGTGACCTGCTTTGTCCTTAAACACGATGCGAGCACCTGTATGTATCATTAAAGTTTCTTTTACAACATTATTTTGAAGGACTAGGTATTACATAATTATTGGAAATTTGGGCTATTTTAGTTTTTGTTATAAGCAATACTGTCATTGATATCTTTATCATGAAATTCTGTGCCCATCCAGGATTTTTCCCTTTTGATAAATCCCTAAAAAAGCCTGGCTGGAAGAAAGCATGAAGGGCCCTTTTAGGGCCTTTGGTGCCTTTCCCTTCCGAGTCACTCTCCTCCGGCCCAAGTGTGAAAGTGCCCATTCACTCACACCGACCCTGGGCATTATTATTATATATTATTATATTCTTAGTCATTTGTCAAGCAAAGATTCAATATGCTTACATGTCCTTGATGACTAGTAAGTTTAAACATTTTTAATCAACGTTCATAAGCCATTTTAATTTCTTTTGTGAATTGCCTATCCTGTGTCAAGCTTGGTTTTGTTTTTAGTGGGGGAGGGGAATTGAGCCAGGTTTTTGAGGGTGAACAGAGACTTTCGCAGATCTACATGAGGAAAGGGGTCATTCTAGAAGGAAACCATAGCCAGGGAAAGGCATGGTGATGCAGGCCCGGATAGCATGCCTGCAGGCCAGAAGAGTCAAGGGTGTGCCGCTCTCCTGGGAGGTGGGCAGGTGCTGGTCTGGGGCTGGGTTAGACAGGCTCCCGCAGATCACAGGAAAGAGGGGAGACATTATTCTGTGGGGGCCCCTGGGGCTTTAGGCTGGACAGGAACACGACTGGGTGCAGGTTTTAAGCAAGCGTCCCTGGGGGTTGATGTGGAGCGTGGCCTGGGGGTGCCCTGGGCACCCAGGGAGTGAAGGTGGCCGCAGGGTGGACAGGAGAGCATCTAGAGGGGAGGGTCTCGAGGGGAGCATGAGCGCGGGGAGTCCTGGTGCTGTGGCCCCCAGCCTCGGCTCACTGCCTCGAGAGGAGGATTTGTGGGGGGGCCTTGGTGGGCAAAGCGCAGGCAGGTAGATGGCTGCAGGGCATAGCACTAGCCCCTGCCGCCCCCCAGGATGCTGAGGAACAACCGCATCGGCTGCATCCACAATGACAGCTTCACGGGCCTGCGCAATGTCCGCCTCCTCTCACTCTACGACAACCAGATCGCCACCATCTCCCCGGGGGCCTTCGACACCCTCCAGGCCCTCTCCACGCTGTAAGTCCGGGCCCGGAGGGCGGGAAGGCCTGGGGCTCCGGCACCAGCCTCTGCGCCCCGGCGGCCGCCTGCACTCCCAAGGGTCGTTACTTTGAAAGACTCACTGGGGGTGTCGGGCCCTCGTGGTCTGTGCGGTCCCACGGTGTCAGGATGCCACGTCTTCATAACTGCTGGCCGTCTGGGAAAGAGTGCTGGGTGGCCGCGTGGCCGTGTGGCCAGTCCGTGGCGGCGCGAGAGGGCTTTGCAGGGAAACCGCGCCTGGCAGGGCGTGTTGGTGGTCACACGGCCGCCTCTTCCAGAAACCTTCTGGCCAACCCTTTCAACTGCAACTGCCAGCTGGCCTGGCTGGGCGACTGGCTGCGGAGGAGGAAGATCGTGACCGGGAACCCACGGTGCCAGAACCCGGACTTCTTGCGGCAGATCCCCCTGCAGGATGTGGCCTTCCCCGACTTCAGGTGTGAGGAAGGTAAGCCGCGGGCCCCTGGGCGGGAGGGAGGAGGCGGGCTGGTCAGCCCTGGAGAGGAGGTCTCCCGTGCAGGGGGGCAGGGGGAGGCCCTGGTCCGGGGGTGGGGCGGGGAGCAGGGAGACCCCCTTTTTGCCCTGCACCTACCCCTGCCTGGCGGCAGCTTCGTGTAACTCTTAAAGCAATAATACGCTTATTGTGTAAAAAACGGGAAAGTATGGATAAAAGAAGGAAATAAACGTTACCTATTATTCCATCACTCAGAAAAAAGTCACAGTTCACATGTTAGTGTATTTTTTTATAGAAGTATGCCTCATGCAGGGAGGGATCTGCCGCCTGGCCGTGCCTCAGCGCTCCAGGCTGACGGCTTCACCGGGTCCGTGAGGGGCGGTGGGACCTTCCCGGGCCCCCCGCCTCCCTATGGGAAACCCGGTCACTTCTCACACCCATGTCTGTTTCCTCCGGATTCCCAGTCTCTTTCCTGCGGCCCCTCCCTTCTTTCCCCGCACTTGCAGCATGTAGCTGCATCCCCTGACTTCCCCGCAGAGCTTCGTGCACACAGGGCGGATTTTTACCCATGGTGACAGAGCAAGGTTGCAGCTCAGCCCACTGTCCCTGTTCTTGAGCCCTGCCACTGCCTTCAGCCTCCAGCAGGCCTGGCCTGCCTCCTCCAGCCCTCCCTGCAGCCCGCTTCCGGACTGGCCCATCCAGGCCAGGCGAGGGTGGTCCTGGGTGAGGAGCTTCAACTTTCACACCAAGAAAGATGGTCAGCGTATTTTTCTAAACAAAACCAATGGTTTTTCTAGAGCAATTTTACATCCTATTTAAAATTTCATACTACTCACATATATATTTTTATGTAGTAATAACTTGCTGGTCTTTAAAATTTTTTTTTAAATTTAACTTAATTTTAAATTCTAGTATAGTTAGCATACAGTATTATTTTAGTTTCAGGTGTACAATATGGTGATTCAACACTTCGGTCCATTACCCAGTGCTCATCACAAGTGCCCTCCTTAATCCCCATTGCCTATTTTACCCACCCCCCTTACCCCAAAATTCTGTTTCTTTTTAAACCTAACTATATATTTTGGGCATTTTCTTATGCCATTAAGTATCCTTTGAAAACAGTATTTTTTCCCCCAAGAAACAGTTTCTTTCTTTTCTTCTTTTTAAAGATTTTTATTTATTTGAGGGGGAGAGAGAGAGAGAGAACACGAGCCAGGGGAGAGGGGCAGAGGGAGAAGCAGACTCCCCGCTGAGCAGGGAGCCCGACATGGGGCTCGATCCCAGGACCTGGAGATCATGACCTGAGCCGAAGGCAGAGGCTTAACCAGTTGAGCTGCCTAGGCGCCCCCTCCTTTTATTTCTCTTATTACAAAGCGAGGCATCATCGTTTCCTTAAAAAGCAACAACGGACAATCCAGAAGAGTAAAAAGGTCACCAATGTGTCCCCTGCTCCTGCTTCCCAGCCCTGAATGACTCCTGTCACTAACCCGCTGTGTGACCTTCCTGAGCTCTGTGTGTGTGTGTGTGTGTGCACGCACACACGTGGGACGCACGTAGGATCTTGCCTCACCGTCTGTGCGGGCATTTTCGACATGACAGTCGCTGTCTGGAGAGTGTCGTGATGGCTTTAACCAGCCTGCTGCTTGGCGTTTAGGCACCTCAGAGTGCTGCCCGGAACATCCAGGGAGACAGCTCTCTTCAACTTTCCCCCCTAGGAGAACCTGCTCGAGGTTGAAAGGGTGTGACGGTTTGGGTGTTGCTGCCAGGAGGCAGTGGAATGTAGCGGTCGAGAGGGCCGGCGTCCATTCCAGTCCTGGGGCACCTGGGGCACGTCACTGAACCACTCTGCCCTTGGTTTCCTCATCTCTGTATTGGGCTCATAGCACGCCTGCCAGAGAGCTGTTGTGAGGATTCCGGGAGTTCGTCCGTATTGCACGGTGCCCACCCGCAGCCGGCCTCCCTAACCGATAGTCACGGCCACCTGCTCCCTCGTGCCCTCAGCAACGCCTGCTGTGGGGTCCTTGTTATTACTCCTACACCCAGTCAGAAGAAAGGAAGGCAGAGGCCTCTCAGCAATGTTTACTGAATGAATGAATAAATGAATGAATGCATGAATACATGAAGGACGTGTGATGGGAGCTGATTCTGTGTCAGCCGGATGTGGGTAGAGACCCTGCGTTGCCGCTGATCAGCCTGAATGTGAAGTATACATTCATTCATTTATTCATTCAGCTGATCTATTTTGAGGGCTACTGTGTGCCAGGCTCTGCTCTAGGGCCTGGGCTCCTTCTGGGAGCAAAGAAGAGGAAAGAGACAAGTCTCTGTCCTCGTCGTGCTTGCATTCTCGGGGTGCTCGTGGCCCCCCTTACTGCACTGTTAAAGAGATGATGTTCCATATGGTGCCTGGCACGTAGTAGGTGCTCAAGAAATGGTGTGGTTGCCCTCCTCCTTCTGTGCTGTGCCTACGTCCACCTTGGATCTGAGGCAGGAGATTGACCCAAGACCCATCTCAACTCCAAAACAGGTCCAAGGGGCTTTGTTCCTGGTGGGGAAGGGGTGCAGCCAAGAGGGGACTTTTGGGTGCCTGGGGGAGTGTCAGAGAAGTGGAGAAGGGGAGTGTCTGCGGCACCGTGGAGTGTGACCCTGGCAGCAAGAGGCCCTAAGAAGGCCTGTCCCGTCACTGACGAGGCTTCGGGCCTTCCTCCCCAGGCCAGGAGGAGGGGGGCTGCCTGCCCCGCCCACAGTGCCCCCAGGAATGTGCCTGTCTGGATACCGTAGTCCGATGCAGCAACAAGCACCTCCAGGTCCTGCCCAAGGGCATCCCCAAGAACGTCACGGAACTGTGAGTAGCCCCAGGCCTGGCGTCAGAGGACAAGGTAACCAAGAACAGGTAGGAGCTGACTAGGGCGTGGAGGTAGGGCATTGCAGGAGGCACTGGTTCCAAGAAGGCTTTGAGCTTCTGTGTGACACCCTCTGTAGTCACCTGACGGCGTGAGTCACCCACAGTGAGTGCTTTCTCACTCGCAGCTGACGCCGGCTTTTAAAATAAGAAGTAACGTGTGTTTTCCACCTCACATCACCCCATGCGCATCCCTTCTGTCATGAAAACTCTCACAGAAGTTTATTTTTGCTGGCTGCATACTTTTCCACCCCATGAATCTACTATGATCTACATAACAAATCCCCCTTTGTCAGATAATTGTTTCCAATTTTTTACTAAATTGTATTATGATTATAAATAGTGCCGAGGTGCATATCCCTTCAGTGAAGCTGCTAGTCCAAGAGCGGTGCATTGTTAGGACTGTTGCTGCCTTTTGCATGATGGCCTTCCAGAAAAGTCGTCTTTGCACCCCTACTGGCCGGGTGTGGAAATGGCCTCCCCACCCCCACCTCCCCCACCCCCACCCCGTCAGTACTGGGCATCATGGTGCTAAAATCTTGGTTGATTTGGGTGTGGTATCTGAGCTTATGTGGGCGTGTGGATGTCAGCGTGTGTGACAGACAGAGATGGAGAGCTGGGCTTCTTCAGCAGACACCCCCAAATAAGAGGCTGTGGTCAGTCCCCGACTCCTCCTGTCCCCCGGGATTGGTCCCTCCAGGCCTCCATGGCTGTGCTTTTCTTTCCCTGCAGGGAGCGTGTGAGGTTTTCATTTGTGTTTCTTCCATTACCAGCGAGGCAGGCTACTTCCTCCCAAGCACATCAACCACTGCAGCCCTTGTCCTGTGATGCCCCACCCTGTCCCTTACCCAGTTTTCTATCATCCTGTTAGTGACCCATTTTCTCCTTGGTGCCTCATAGCCACCCTGAGCATAATGGAACAGTTGGGACAGCCTGCCTTCTTTGACCGAGGTTGCTGAAGTTCAGAGGCTGGGAAGATCTCTTGATTTCTCTAAGCCTTTGTTTTCCCAGCAGTCAATGGGGCCACGGGGGTGTATTGACAAGAGCCACTGAGAGGCTCACATGAGATGGGTGGGAAGTCACTTTGTATGATGCAGTGTTGGGTCAGAATGAGGAAGGCCCTGATTTTGCTGCTCTCTGGGTCTTTGTGGGGGGGTGGGGCGAGCCATCCTGGGGGCTGTAGTTGGTGGGGTTCCTGGGCAGGGAGCCCAGCCGAGGTTGCAGCTCCTGGTCCTTGGGTCACTGCTTAGCAAGGATGGCTGGGGGCAAGTAGGGGACCTTCACAGCATCTTGAATCCTAAGCACCACCCTGTAGACACGGGGAACCTTCGGGAGTGTTAGGAGGATTTCTGGTGGGCTTGGCTTTGAGGACAACAACTTGGGTGGTGGTGTATATAGTGGGTCCCAGAAGGGAGGCCAAGGAGTGGGAACAGACAGAGGCAGCTGCAGGAGTCCAGGCATGGGTGACGGTGTGCAGTTGGGAGAGATGTGAGACTGGAACACAGCAAATGAGCAGCGACTGGTAGGTGGGAGAGTCTGCAGTCCTGGGGCGCTGTTGAGTGAGTAGGAGAATCACCATCAGGGTCCTGAGCCTGGGTGGTTAGGCCATGGGGGTGATGGCTGATGGAGTCAGGGGAAGCCAGTTTGGGTGTAAAAGCACTGAGCTCAGGTTTGGGCCTGCCTGGGTCCAGCCTCACGCACCTTGCCAGCAGGTGCAGAGGGGCCCGACTAGCTGGCAAGAGGCCTGGCAGGTGGGCCTGGGAGGGACTAATGTGCAGATCAGGCCTGTCTGGCCAGGAAAACCGTGGGGCAGACAGGGGATGGGAGAGGAGCCCAGGAGTGAGCCCTGGGGGGTGCCTGCCAGCAGGGGGGAGGCTGAGAGGGTGAGGCAGCGGCAGGAAGAAAGCCAAGGGAGGCTTTATGTCTCAGTGCTTTTACCAGGTTCTTTGGCTGGCACCTGTCCACATGCTTAAGTGAGTGCATATATTGTCCTCCAGTTAGCGATTCTGGGCCAATTGTGTGGCCTGCGTGGAGGAGAGGAGAGGAGCCGGCAAGGCCCCAGCTGCAGGGGAGGCTTCCCCAGCGCGGCACTAACTGGTGTGTTCTCTTCTGTAGCTACTTGGACGGGAACCAGTTTACACTGGTTCCAGGACAGCTGTCCACCTTCAAGTACCTGCAGCTTGTGTGAGTATCCAGGCCTCTCGAGGATCCCAGGCCTGCCTCAGAGGCCAGGGGGGCCCCTGGTATCTAACTGTCCGGCTCCAGCTTTCTTGGAATTCCCTACCACCCCACTTCTGGCTGACCCGGTTTTGAATTCTGCACCGTCCCTCCCAGAAGGTCCGTGCATAGAGCTGTGTTACCACCTAGTGGTCATGCTTGGGAATGGCATGTTCCAGGCTGCCTTGCCTTGGACCCTGTCCGCTTCTGCCCGGCCCATCACCCCAAGCCTCCCTCTGGGCTGAGAATGATTGTTCATGAGGGTCATCCCGGCAAAGAAAGGAGCCAGAGCAGAAGAGGCTGATGGAAAACTTCTCAGTTCAACCGTGGCCCTCAAACCAAACATGAAATATGGCAGTTACAAATACATGTCTGTGACTACGTTTTTCTTTAGGCTAATATCTTTTTCTGTTATTTCCACTTTTGACCCTTTATGTCCCAGGAAAGTATATGAGATAAGCCTCCGAATAACTTCAGTTCCTCTTAGCCTTCCAGCCTAATTAACACCTCACCTCAGCTGTCTTATCTGCTCATTGGCCAGATTCTCCCCAAAAGAAGTCCAGATAACATTCCATCTTAGTTGGGCTTGGAGTGGTGCTCCTCAGGTGTGGTCTATGGACCAGTGGCCACTAGAGAACTGTTTGTAATGGGTCTGCAATTAGATGAGAAACTTGCACCAGAATGCAAATCAATGTCTTGCTTCCTTGGCTGAGAAGGTGTTACTGTGACAAGACTCTTAGCTCAACTATGTTGTGTTTAGTGTCCTAAGTGATTTGGACTTTTGCAGAAGTTCTTGGTTGTGGGACATTCAGTTCAGGGACTGGCTACTCTGAGGAGCACTGGCTTCCAGAATCTCGAAGCTCCGGTGTATCTGTCTTTGCTAAAGACCTAGCAGATGTGTTTTGACTGTCCCCATGGTGGGGAGGGGAGGGAGGGTGGTGATTTGGTGGCTGGTGACAGAGTAGCCTAGACACAGACAGCCTTTCTCTGCTCTGATTTGGGGCAGCCGCGTTGGTGGCTGGGACACGCTTGGGAGGAGAGGAAGGAGAGAGGACCGATGTGGGGCCAGTCCTTGCCCATCACAAGGAGGGGCCACCCAGTGTGCTGAGCGCTCAGTGAAGAACCTCAGTGTGTCCTAAGAACAATGGACCGGTCTTGAATGAGATTAGTTAGAGGAATGTTCACTAAGAGACACTGAAGGCAGGGCATATGGTTTCATGTTACAAATATTTCCTGAGCCAAGAGCTACATGAAGTGAGGCGACATGAAGGCCCCTAAATCATGGGCCCTCCCCCGAAGGCGGTGGGCTGGTGGGCATGCAGGAGGGAGGCTTGGGGCACATAAAGTCATGGGACTGATGAGTGTTCCAACAGAGGGAAAGACACATTAGGGGTGTGGCTCAAAGCGGTGTGGGGGGTGATGGAGTCAGTGGGGGGTGCTGGGGCAGAGGCAGAGCCACCAGTGGGCAGAGGGAACAGGGGCAAGAGAATTTCAAGAAGGGTAGCAAATCCACGCCAGGCATGCGGGAGGCAGTGAGGGAGAGGTGGGCCGGAACCCAGAGCACCTAGCAGGTGTCTGGGCTAATTTTGTAGGCAAATGGGAGCCACTGCGGGATTTGGCAGGGAAGTGACTTAGTCAGATTTGTGGTGCCCACCCGTGTGGAAGATGGATCAAAAGGGGGCAAAGCTGCAGGTGAGAGATGAGGTAGCTCCTGAGCCAGAAGCTGGGAGAGAGATGGCCTGAGTGAGCAGAAAGGGAGAAGGAGGAGGCTGAGAGAGAGGAGGTGGTGGGGCGCAGTTTCCGGGTTGTCAGGGCCGTGGACTGGGTGGGTGGGGGGAGAGGCACAAGATGTGGACCGGACTTCGAGTGTCTCTGGAGGGGAGTTCATAAGCCCCGGCTGCTGGGCCCCCAGAGGAGGGCACTGCTGCCTGCAGTGGGGAGGGAAGCCTAGAGCGTCCCCGAGGCTCCCAGAGTGGACTACAGGGAGAGGGTCCGCGAGGTAGGGTTGGCTGGGAAAGCAGCTTCACCAAGGGACTGAGAAGGTACAGCCAAGGAGGTGGGGGTGGTGGTGGTGTGGGAAGCCAGTCAGGGGTCTGAGGAAGAAAGGACAGGGAAGCAAGAGGTTTGAGAAGAGGGGTATCAGCCGTGACCCTGGGTGGGCTTCATCACTCTGAGACCTTGTGCCTTCATTTGAAAAATGGTGGTTACGTCTCCCCCATTGGATTGTGGGAGGGCTAGGAAGGAGCTAGCTGAGTGGTAGCAAGAGGAGAAAGCACAGAGCCCAGTAGATCTGGTAGTTCGGAGGCAGCCCATCTCCTTGGTGGGAGCACTTCCAGAGTGGAAGGGGGCAGAAGCCTGGGGTGGCGGTAAGGAAATGGAGACAGGCAGCCCTGGGGATGTAGTGGGAGTTTGGGGAGCAGGGCAGAGTGCTGTAGCTAACTGTGCACCAAATGCCCCTCTCTGCTGCCCCCTCCCTTGCCCCCCAGCTGCCACCTGGCTGAGGGAGGGCCACGGGCAGAGTGGGGGAGGGAGGAGCCCATAGCAGAGAGCAGGGCGGAGTTCTTTCTTTCTAAACAATGATGCTTTTTTCTTTTCCAGGGACTTGAGTAACAACAAGATCAGTTCCTTAAGCAATTCCTCCTTCACCAACATGAGCCAGCTGACCACTCTGTGAGTCCTGGGGGCGGGGAGGCGGAGGGAGGGCACGCACGGTATCACCAGCAGGGAGTGTGCCAGGGCCTGCCAGCCGGAAAGAAAAAAACCAGGTTTTTTATTGTGAAATATAGCATTCATACAGAAAAATGCAAAAAATATAAATGTACCATTTAACAGTCACAAAGCTGGCCCCGGTGTGAATACCTAAGGCAAAAAGCAGAACACAGCACCCCAAAAGTCCCTTCCTGATCCTTTCCTGATCATTCCCCCTTCCTCCCATCTCCAGGCCGTGCCTAGCCTGACTTTTATGGTGATCACTCTTTGATTTTCTTTACAGTGTTGCCATCTACATATGCACTTCTATACAAGGAAGTTTCATTTTGCACATTTTTGAACCTTATATAAATGGAATCATACAGGATATATTTATTTTTTTGTATCTGGCTTTTGTTTACCATTGTGTTTGTGAGATCCACTCATGTGGGAAGCTGTGGTCTGTTCATTTTTATTGCTGTGTAGTATTCCTTTGTAGGACTGTGCCATACTTCCCTTATTCATTTCACTATTGCTGGATGGTTGGGTTGCTTCCAGTTTTGACTGTTGTAAACAGCGACCTTCTGAACATTTTCATGCCCGTAGTCTGAGCTATTTTGAGGATTCTTTTAGTTACATCCCAAGCCATTGGTCGGAAAGTATAGCAAGCATCCCTTATATTGGCCTGTGCTTAAGAGCGGTATCTCACTCACCTTCTCCACACCTCACTTTACAGATAATGTGCCAAGAACTGAAGAACTTTCCCTTAGGTTCTACTGTGGTCCAATACCCAGAAAACAGTAGAGGCAAGACCCAGAAAAAAGGACTGGGTCATGACCTAGCCAGACCCCCCAGGAGCAGAATGTGGGCCCGAGGCCATGAAATGCTGGTTCTAGGTTCCCCACCTGCGCTTATTTGCCCCGGGGTCTACTCATCAACTGGGTCCCATTTCAGAGGCTTCCTGAGTCTGCGTGTGAAGCTGCCATCAGCTGGGGTGATTCTGCCCCCCAGGGGACATTTGGTCATGTCAGAAGCATTTTGGGGGGTCACGGCTGGAGGAGCCCCTGACACCTCATGCGCAGAGGCCAGGGTTGCTGCTAAACACCCAACAAAGAATTGTCCATAGTGCTGGGGCGGGGCAGTCCCGGTCTCAGGGATCTGGCCCCTGCGAGGGGACACAGAGCCCGTTCCTGGGACAGGAGCATCTCCTTGCTCTCATTATTTTAGAAACAGCTTTATGGAGGTAGAGCTAATATACGGTCAACTGTACATACTTAAAGCCCACAGTTGGCTACATCCTGACTTATGTTCCCATCCATGGAACCCTCACCACAACCAACACAGTAACCGCTTCCATCACCCCCAGAAGTCTCCTCCCGCCCTGTGACAGCTCTCCCCACCGCTGGCCCAGGCCACCAGCCGTTGGCCTTCTGTGGAGGAGTTCGCTCGGCCCAGAGTTTTACATGAATGGAATCCTCCCACAGTGCTCTCTTTTGTTTGGCTTCTTTCAGCCGGCATAGTTACTCTGAAATTCCTCCCTGTCATGGCATGGCATGGGGTCGCTCCTTGCTCCTGGTCTTCCACTGTATGGCTGTGTGTCTGTCAGTCCGCTGACGGACATGTGGGGCTATTACGAGCATCATTTCCTTTATTGTCAACCTGCCTGTCTGCCCTTGATGGATTCGTTTATTTGGAAGCCTTGGGGGGAGAGTGGTGTAGCCTGTGGACCTAGGAAACTGAGAAGCAGACTTAAAAACCCAGCTTAGGGACTTAATTACAGCACGCTGGGGGAGTTCTGTCTCCCTGCGGGGCCTCAGTCCTCATCTTTATGATGGGGGCAGTCACAGCGCCTTCCAGGCCCATAAGAGCTTTTTTTTTTTTTTTTTTTTAAGATTTTATTTATTTATTTGAGAGAGAGAGAGCACAAGCAGGGGGAGAGGCATAGGGAGAAACAGGCTCCCCGCTCATCAGGGAGCACAACTTAGGGCTCGATCCCAGGACCCTGGGGTCATGACCTGAGCTGAAGGCAGATTCCCAACCCCCTGAGCCACCCAGGTGCCCCCGTCACAGCTTCTTAATGGCACATCTCTAGGTGGGCTTGGACTTCCCCTGCCAGCTCCGGGAGTGAGGCCGGGCCTGATCAGGGGGCAATTTCACAGGGACCCCACCTCCGGCCCTCGCTGGGGCAGCTTCCACAGGCGAGGGTGCCCAGTCTCCTTCCTGAAGGCTGGCTGGGAGCCGGGCACAACGCTGAGGGCTTCACCTGGGCTATTTCCCCTTCCCCACAGAAAAGCCCTATCGAGTTGTCATTGTTTTTGTCCTTGCTCTGCAGCTGGGGGAACTGATGGAGGCATAAAAGTGTTGGGGGACATGGCCGGGTCACAGGGCTTACTAGTCCAGGGCACAGCCCATAGCCCCTTCCATGCTCAGGCCTCCCTCATTTTGCTGCTGAGCAAACTGCCCCCGCACCCCGAGCCAGCCTGCTGGGGCCTGGTCCCTGACTTGGCGCCGCCCCCTCCCTGTCTTGGTCTCTCCTTCCTCCTCCCTCCCCTCTCCTGTCCTCCCTTGCCCTCCCTCTCTTCCCACAGGATCCTCAGCTACAATGCCCTCCAGTGCATCCCTCCTCTCGCCTTCCAGGGCCTGCACTCCCTGCGCCTGCTGTAAGTCTCCCTGCTCTTCATTCCCCCACGAAAATCCAGCCCATGGAGGGCCCTGTGGCCTCAGTAGGGCCAATAGTGTCCCAAGACGGGAGGCCCGTCCATGCTCATTCAAGCCCCTCACGGAGGCTGGAGAACGAATGGGAAACTCTGAGAAATGGGGGGTTGCTATATGCCCCACGTTGTGTTTGGGGGAGCAGTGTGGCGGGGTGGCATCCAACATAAGGTAGCCCCTCGTTTGCATATGAGTTTCCGGCTCAGGTGGAGAATGTTCAAAAGAGATTTGTGAACCTTTTCTAAGAATTCCCACTGGGAGGTTTTTGCCCTGTGATCAAAGCCCCCTGTCACGCCTGTTGGGAAGGCCTCTCGAGGATCCGTGCGTGGGATTCCCCCGGCAGCCCAGCCTGGGGCACGGGGACATTCTTTACCCTCAACCTGTGGCTTGCCATAGTAACCTTTTTCCCCAAGAGGGAGCCTACCCCTCAGGCTTGCCGGCCAAGGGAGGGAGGGCACAGGGCCGCACACAGTTCCATTTGCCGTGTAAACAAACATGGTGCTTTGGGTTGTGATGGCAAAAACGAGTCCTCCAGAAGGGCTGGCGCAGGGTTGTCTACTTGGATTATGAGGGGCTCCCTCTCCCTTGCCAGTGGCTGGCAGGGCTGTGTCTCTGAGCTGGAGGCCATCTCCCTCTGACACTGACGGAGAGACCCAAGGATAAGCACGACACACGCCTCCATCAGTTCTCGAGTCTCTGTCCCTGGATGAGGCACCGACGGCCTCTTCTCTCCTCAGGTCCCTGCATGGCAATGACATCTCCACCCTCCCAGAGGGCATCTTCACAGACGTGACCTCCCTGTCTCACCTGTAAGTAACTTCGGCCCAATTCTCGAGGCCTCTTTGGATTTAAACAGAACTTGGATTCGGGAAAGACCCCCTCCCCCCACCTCCTGAGACTGGCAGAGTTTGTGGCTTTTGCCCTGAAACTGATTGAGCTTGTGAACTTCAAACCCTCCCCGTCTCAGACGCTTACACGTTCAGTTTCATCAGTCCCAGCAATGGGGTTTGAGGACAGTTCTTCATAAGCGGTCGTAAGAGTAGTAATGCCCCTTGTTGACTGCATCGGCTGGTGTAATCCTCACATGGGCACAATGATTCCCATTTTCCACATGAGGAAACAGGCCCAGAAAACACGAGAAGCTCGCCCAAAGTTGCACAGCTGGCAGGGTCCGTAGTCTTCTGTCTCGAAAGCCCACGCTCTTAAGCATGACGCACTCTTGCGCTTCTGACTTCACAGGCTGGGGGATGAGCTCTGGATGTTTACTACCCCCAAGAAGTGGTATTATTCGATGTAGAATTGCTTCCAAAGCCATTTAGCTGGCAGTACCGTGTGGATTTTTAAAAAAGCAGTGTGCTCAGTTCCTCAAAAGGCTAAATGTGGAATTACCCTGCGACCCGGCAATTCCACTCCTAAGTGTATATCCCAACTAATTGGAAGCAGATACCTTGTACACCCATGTGCATAGCAGCTTCCTTCACACACTAGCCAAAAAGCAGAAACAACTCGAGTTGTTGGACAAAACGTGGCGTCTACATACAATGGGATCTTTTTCAGCCGTAAGAAGGAAGGAAAGTCTGGCACCTGCTACAAACACGGAGGAGCCTTGGAGACATGCTGAGGGAAATCAGCCAGACATTAAAGGACAAATGCTGTCTGATTCTGCTGATGTGAGGTACAGGATAGTCGACCCCACAGCTGTAGGCAGGAGAGAGGTAGCCTCCAGGTGCCAGCAGCAGGAGGACCTGGGGAGCTCTCCTTCAGTGGCTACGGAGTTTCTGTCCGGGCCGATGAAGAGCTGGAGAGCCAGAGAGTGGTGAGAGTTGCACAACATGGTGCTAATTGATGCCACTGAACCGTACACTTAAAATGGCCAAAATGGCCAATTTTATGTTGTGTATATTTTTACCACAATTGGAAAAAAGAAAGGAAAAGCAGTGGGGCCGTGACAGGACCATCCTGCTTCTGGGGGTGGGGCTGGGTGCAGAGCATTCTCTCCCAGAGTCCCAGCTCCAGGCCGAGGCAGGGATCAGGCCAGATGTACCGCAGCTGGGATCCCAGGTGTTCCTGGGACTTCTTGCTCTCTGCCCACACGCACGTGCGCAGGGCCTGAGCGGGCACCAGAGAGCCTTCTGGGGCCCCCAGCATCACCACCTGAGGCTCATTCATCCAGCAATCTCACTGGGTTTTCTCCGTTGTAAGACTCGCCTTCTCCGCATATTAGTCTCTGAAATCATAGCGTATCTTACAAATGATCTGTATATTTAATATGGTAATATTTCTCTGCACCTCCCAAAGCACGTTAAATCAGTAGTGCATTAACAACCTTAGACTTGAGGAAAGAAATAGTAACATGTACTATTTATTGAGGGTCTGTCTGGGACAAATGCTTTACTATGTGTGAATACCTTATCTGTGGTGTTTTGTTTACTCCAAGACCGAAGTGAGAAGTAGGTATTGTGCTCTGCTCCAGTTCCGCAAATTTGACAGGGACTGCCTTGAGCCCACAGTGAAGATTCTAGTGCTAGTCTGGACTCCGTGGGAAGAGTGCAGTGATTGATTAGTAATGTCTGCCATGGGAGTGAAATGGAAAAAGGGCTCTGTCCTAGGTGGTAGGATTTATTATTTCCATTTTCCACTTACTATTTCTTTCCATTTGTTTATTTACGTTTATTATTTGTATTTATTTACATTTATTACTTACATTTACATTTTCCATTCAGGCCCAGGTTCAGAAAATGAAGCAGCTTCCTTTGGTCATAAAGCTAGGAAATGACAGAGACAGGATTGGAACTTAGGTGTATCTGATTCCCAAGCTATTTATTTATTCTATATTGCCTCAGTAAATACGCCCTGAATAACCACAGTGAGTCAAGTGCTGAAGAATTTACTACCAAGAGGTTTCTGTCTTCTGTGACCCTCAGGGATATTATAAAGCAAATTTAAAGGCAGCAGTGACTAACTTTGGGGAAGTCAAGGAGATCTGCAGAGGTGGTGATGTTGATGCTGCCATCGGAAAGGGACTAGCTAGGGGTTTGCCATTGGAGAAGATACGGAAAGACATTCTAGGAGGAGGGAACAGCATGTGCAAAGGCAAGATGGCAAGAAAGTAAATGACATATTCAGAGATGTTGTCCAACATAGGACATGGGGGTTGGTTGGGTGAGGAACGTGGGGTGGGAAGAGATGACTCTGGAAAGGAACTTTGGAATTCCATTGTGAAGGGCCTTTTGTGCCATGCTAAAGAGTGTGGACTTCACGTTACAGATAGAAGGGAATCGGGGAAGAATGAAGTGGTAGAAAGCTCCTGGAAAGCCATGGTGACGTGTGGAGGCTGGCTGGCATGGGACGAGGCAGGAGGGAGCCTGGCTGGAGACGGTGGCTCCAGACAAAGGCCAGGCAGGGGCTGTGTTGGTCATTGCTCTTGATGATTCCCGTTCAACAGGGCCTTGTTTCCATCTGTGTTTGGTGGTTAGTGGTTGTGAGCTCCTTTTTTGCTGATGTTTGGAATTCTGAGGACCTAAATTAGAGATGCTTCTCTCCAGAGAGCATCTGTGCTTATCTCTGTGGGCACCAGGGCAGGAGTCACCCAAGAGTTAGCATCCAGTGTCCCTGGCTCCTGGAGGTGCCCTTTGTTCCTATTGTGACTCTGGCCTGGGCTTTTCCTCTTCACTAGCAGTATGCAGGGGGCAGGGGGGCAGTAGGCAGAGGGTGTGGTGGAGGCTGAGGTCTGCCATATTTAAACCCCTTGAACCCTAGGAATCAGGATGTGTGGTGTTAGATCCTTGTTCTGCCATCAACTTGCAGTGGGATCTCAGACAATTCATTCATCTCTTTGGGCCTCTTTCCTCGCCTGTACCCCAAAGGTTATTTCTAAGGTCCACTATGGTCCATAGGCCATAATGATTGTGAGCGCTCATCACTGCCCTGGGCTCCAATACCCTGCACACTTCTCCACTTTTTTTTAAAGATTTTATTTATTTATTTGAGAGAGAGAGAATGAGAGAGAGAGAGCACATGAGAGGGGGAGAGGGTCAGAGGGAGAAGCAGACTCCCTGCCGAGCAGGGAGCCCAGTGCGGGACTCAATCCAGGGACTCCAGGATCATGACCTGAGCCGAAGGCAGTCGCTTAACCAACTGAGCCACCCAAGCGCCCACTTCTCTGCTGCTTTTAACTTTTGTATTTACTTTGCAGTTAGCTCATCTTTCCTCCATTTGTCCATCCATCCATCCATCCATCCATGCATCCATCCATCCAGCTCTTCATCAACGAATATTTACTATGTGCCAGATCCTGTGCCAAGGTTCCCCAACATCATTCTTCATTTCTCTAATCTGGCATTTTGTTGCCTCTGATTTACTGCGTGCCGGGAAACTAGATTCCAAATTCATTAAGAATTCGGTGTGAAAAGTAAACACGGCATGATGAAGTAGATCATGGTGTGCCCACAGGACAGAAGAGCAAGTAGTTAATTAGAGAGTTATGGCACTGTAATTTACTATTTGATGAAAACGCGGGATAAGGAAAACTACCCTGATTTCACGGACGTACATATATGAACACAAGAACTGGATGGGAATACACAAAAATTAAATCAGTTACATTTGTGGGATGATGGAGGATTCTTTTCTTTTTGAATTTCCTTTGCTTTCACACTGAGCTCTGTGCATTCCTCATGCCTTTGGGCAGGGCTGGGGTTAGGCTGGTTCACAAGCACTCCCGGGCTACCTGCTGGTAGCTTCAGTGCAGTAGAAGGAGACAGTGAAGCCCACAAGCACATTGCCTGAGAGGAGAATGGGCAGAGGAGGTGTGGCGCAGGTGAAGGAGATTCTGAAGTTTTAGTACGTGCTAAACTCTAGAGTCGGCGGCTCTGGGAAACAGCCTCAGGAGTGCTACTTTGGTCCTGGTTACAGTAATAGGAGCCTTGGTGTGAACACACCGAGTATCTGCCGTTTCAGCTATTTCCAAGTTACACCAAAGATCAACAACACGCGATTATTTATACTTTGGCTAGAGTGTAACCCTGAATCACAGCCCTTTTGGGACCCCACCACTGCGCCTCAGCTGGGCCCGTGACTCTCCACTCCCCACTGAGCTCACAGTCACTTTTGGTGGGAAAAATGGTCCCCAGGTGAAAGTGAAGTCGTCTCAAAACCCCAGCCTTTGGGTGAATGAGCGTGGGAACGGTTGAAATCAGGTGCAGAGTTGGCTCTGTCTCGAAACAAGGAAAACGTGTGGGTCAACCCAGAATTTACTTTTGAATGTTATATTGACTTTGGACGTTTTTATTATTCCTTATTATTCTTTTTATGTAAAGAGTCAGAAAGGGACACTTAGATTGGAGGTGCACACGGGGCGCCTGGCTGGCTCAGTTGGTGGAGATTGTCACTCTTGATTTGAGGGTTGAGCTCCACTTTGGCTGTAGAGATTCCTTATAAATAATAATAATAAAAAAAAACCTTAAAAAAAAGATCTGAGGTGCAGTTTTGCTGCCATTTATGGGGGGGACGAAGGGGGAATTGGCATTATGACAATCCTGACCTGTCAAGGTCTCCACATTCACAGTGGCCTCAGTCTCTGGCGCATTTTCTCTAAAAGAGCTACAGGACTGAAAGAAGAAGCCACTCATAATTAACTTTCAGCTCATGGCTCATTACCAGACCACACTCCTGCAGTGCACTACAAAACAAGTATTTTAAAATAAAGTCTGTATTGACATTTTGAATAACAGAATCACATTACCTTGCACTTTTTATGTTAAAAATATTAATCTGCTTAACGTAAACATTTTAAATATAGCACAATTTTTGTA